TGATATATATCATAAATTATTCTCAAGAAAGCATTCTGCCAAAAATGGAAACTTTATATTCTAGAACAATTGCCATGAGATTTTAGTACAAAATAAAATGAATTTTCTTAATTCAGCTTAGTATAAGAAAAACTGGGGCTTAAAGATGAGTAATTTTATGCTATTTTCAGTGAATCCGTAGGCTTGGGCAGCTGAACGGCACTGGACATGTTGTCAGAATGGCTTTCCTTTTTACAGGTGTTTCTGATGAATCATTGTGTGATATACTACAGTACAATTCAGCTTTAGTATTCGGTGAAGTCACCCACAACACCTGCAACAGATTTTTTTTTTATTTTCTAAATTTTCATTGGGACATGCTTGCAGTGCCTAATGATTAAACTCATCATGGGAAGTTGGTACAAACATGCACATAACACATCTTAGTTATTTTTACTTACTCTTCCACTTCCCTGTTTCCTCCCTCCCTTCTCTTGGCCCCCAAGCCCTTTTACAAAAGATCTATATTCCTATTTTCTCTTATCTATCTTTTATTTTTCTCTTTATATTTTGGGTTTCTCATATAAGAGAAACCATGCAATGCTAAGCTTGTTGTTCTGATTTATTTCACTTACTATTATGGTCTCAGGATGCATCCATTTTCTACAGATGCCTCAAGTTTTTCTTTATGGCAGAATAGTACTCCATTGGATATAAGTTATGCATTTGCTTTATTCATACATTTTTTGATGAACATATAGGCTGCTTCCAAGATCTAGCTATTATGAGGCACACTACTACAAATGTGGGTTTTCGTGAATCACTGTTGTACAGTGTCTTCACCTTGTTTGGAAAAATACACAGAAGGGCAATGGCTGGGGCAACTGTAATTTCTGTATTTAGTTTATGAGGAATCTCCACACTGATTTCCATAGTGATTGTACTGGTTGCATTCCTACCAACAACATTTAAGGGTTCATTGTGCCCCACAGCTTCACCAGGCTTTGTTATTATTTGATTTCTTGATGATAGCTATTCTTTCTGCAGTAAGGTGGAATCTGAGTTGTTTTAATTTGCATTTCTCTAACTGCTAGAGGTGTATTTATTGGCCATTTGTACTTTTTCTTCTGAGAAATGTATATTTATTTGAGTTGCCCATTTTTTGATTGGGCTGTTATTTGGGAGGGCCTAATTTTCTTTTTTAGTTCTTTATATATTGTAGGTGTTAATCCTCTATCTGAGGATTACCTGGCAAAAATTTTTTCCCATTCCATGGGTTGTCTCTTCACTCTGCTCATTGTTCCCTTTGCTGTGCAGAAGCCTTTTAATTTTATATGATCCCATTTGTTGATTAGTGATGTTATTTCTTGTGCAAGTGGGGAGTCCTTGGTATGCCTATGTCTTCGAGGGCTTTGCCTATTTCCAACAGATTATTTCTGTTTTAATATTTAGATAGTTGATCCATTTGTATTTTAATTTAGCACCTGGTAAGAGACTTATGTCTGTGTTCAGTCTTCTACATGGAGATAGCCAGTTTTCCCAGCACCATTTATTAAAGGAGTTGTCTTTCCTCCAGCATACAATTTTGGCCTCTGTCAAATATTACATGTCTGAATGTGCCTGAGGTTGTTTCTCCATCCTCTCTTCTCTGTTCCATCGATCTGCTTGTCTGTTTTTGTGCCAGTACCATGGTGTTTTTATCACTGCAGCTTTGTAATGTAACTTGTAATCTAGAATTGTGATGTTTCCTGCTTTGCTCTTGTTGCCCAGGATTGCTACAACTGGGACTCTTCTGGTTCCATATGAATTTTGAGATTGTTTTCTCTAGTTTTATTGGGAATGCTATTGGTATTTTGATTGGAATTGCATCAAATCTATATATCAGTTTTAGAAGTATGGCTATTTGACAATACAGATATTCCTTATCAAATTACTTACCTGTTTAACGACTGAACTTACAACTGAGGCACACTATTTGGACTTACGGCCCACTTCTTGGACTTACAACCTATTCTTTTTTTTCCTCTCTCTTACTTCCATAGATCTTGTTTATGGAGCCTTAGTGTCTTTTTTGTTGTTGTTGCCTTGTTTTCTTGTGCTTCTGTTGTTTTCTGTTTTGATTTGTTTTGTTTTGTTAGCTGAGCCTGAGGGTTAATTGAAGTGGAAAGATTTTATTGCTAGTATGGAGATCTCTTTAGTAACTATTTGCTTTCCAATGATGCACTTTGGTCATGGTTAACTATAGGCTTTGGGTCTGTCCCAAGATCTGACCACCTCCGGATGATGCAGAGGGAAGAATGTAGTGAAATTAGTACAGCACCCAATACTGCAGTAATATTAGTAACACAAAGACAAATCATACACTGGCATACACTAAAAACCAATCATAGCAACAACTACGCCATGACTGGCAGTAGCAAAGAAATCAGCAATAATAATACAGCCAAAGACAAACTGGATATTGGCATATACTATAAGAACCAATAAAAGCTACCATTGTGCCACTGTTAACCACAAAAGAGATTTGCAGTAATAATATAGGCACAAAGACAAGCCAAATATTGACACACAGTAAGTAGCTACTAAATGCAAGAACTGTACACCATTAACAATAGAAAAGAATTCAACAAAGACAACACAGAGTCAACTAAATACAGTGGTACCTTGGTTCACAAACTTAATTCACTCAAAGTTCTGGGAAAGGTGGCTATTTGTGTTCACGTGGGGAGGATGGCCCCAGTCATGTTTGTCACCTGCTGCAGAGTTCTCAAATGGAAGCAAATTTTTGCCAATGCTTCTGTTTGAGAACTGAACTGTTCATGAGCCAAAGCGTTCATGAACTGATGTGCCACTGTATTGTATCTAAAGATTAATAATGGAATGGGGAAGAGGGAAGTGAGTGAAGTAAAATTTTTAAAATAAAAGGAAAATAGAAAAGTAATATAAAGATCCAATTACAGAGTAAAAGAAAATTAATAGATTTAGATGAAAGTAACAAAAAGGAACTAAGAAACAAAAACAAAGAGAAACGTGAAAAACCTTAACCCCCCTAAAAAATAAAAAGCAATGAAGAAAAAAAGAAATGAATCCAAAAAAAATTCCTGTGTACTCTATGTAGTCTTTCTCTGGGGTCTGCAGTATTTAAATCAGTCAGGCCTGGGAGAGGAACAGTGGATTTCTACTGAGTCTTATGTGGTTTTCACACTCACGTTTTTGTGTATGGATGCTGAGCCCCGCCCCACATTCCCTGCTGGAAGTGGTTAGCAATGGTGTTGCCCTAGGGCCATATTCACTTTGGCCACTCCCAATATTCTCGTCCCCTGTGCACCTCAAGTCACTGCTTTCTCTCCTACCTTTATGACCTGTGGGCTTATGAGGTCCCACTGTCTGCTCATCCCGGGCTGGGAATCATCTGCACTGAGGGATACCTATATTGGCATAGGGGAAAAGCAAACAGACCACTGAGCTCTGTGCTGCATGTAGTCAGCATAACAGAGGAGGGGAAGTCAAGCACTCCACTGGACTTAATGTCAGCACTTTCAGGCCCAGTCCTCCAAAGACCATCTGCTACTGGCCTGGCTTCTCACCAGAAAGTGGAACCCCTGTGTCCCCTCTTCCCAGCAAGAGCTTCAGATTCTCAGGGTGTCTGTTTAGCCCACACCCTCTCTTCGACTGTCTCTCATGGCTGACTCCCACCTAGTCACTTTGGTAGAGTAATCCCCGAAGCCCTGAAGTGGAGTTGTTCTGTGGCTTCTGATTCTTGGAGCAGCTGTCTTTAACAATTTACCCTTTTCCACACTGGCTGCTAATTAAACACTCAAATATGGTGGGCACTGCACTGGATTTCTTCAACTCTAGGCTGCCAAATGGAAGGAGTCTCTTACAGAGTATAACCTCATTCTGATTTTGCAGTTTATAATAACTGGGCTTTCCTTGGGATTAACACTGCCAACTCCAGAGGGCTGCTGACCCTTTCCTTGTGTTCGTGGAGATAGGTCCCCTTCCCTAGGAGCCAAGGTTAGCGTTCCAGACTGCTTCATTCTTCTCTCTGTGTTGTTTTCAGCTTCTCTCTCTCTAGTTTCTAATTTTTCTGTCAGCTCTTTCTTATTTCTTTTTTCTTCACTAAATTGTTTTCCAGGTTCTAGTGAGGCTGTCTTTTGCTGCTAGTCTTCAGGTCACCATTTTTAATCCTCTACAACAGATTTTTAAAGTAATTAATTCTCTCACATCTTAAAAGGAAAAGAACTGTAGAAGTATAGCTGCGGAAGGGCACCACCTTATGCACACTCACAGGCACATCTTCATCTTACTCCTGCATCTTCCAAAGGCCTCGCTTCTGCCATACTCACTTCACTTGTTAGGGTTTAGAGAGGCGGACTGGATGAGCCAGCGACCTATTCCTAGCCAGGCAGTAACCATCAACTAGTTGAGCATGGGCCTGATTGTGTTCTAGAGCAGAAGGAAACCCAGAACCCGGGAAGCTCCCTGTGATCAGAGCTGGACTACCTCTCCAGCAGTATTGAGGAGGTTTCAAGATCCAGTTCTGCAGATTCACCATCACTCAACTCTTCATAACCTATGAATCATACTGAACACCCAAGTACCGGCCAGTATTTTAATCAAACCAAAGAAATGTCATGAGTTGTCCTGAAATTATGTCTGAGTGTAGTCTTGGTTCACATCCTGATCAAGGCAGGCTACGGGGTTAGCAGGGGATGCCTCATGAGTAGACAGTGAGGAATGCGTATTTTACATAGATGCTAAAATTATGCCAACAGGCATTATGAAGAAAAATCATTGTTACAGGAACTAACTACCCCAGAGTCACAAGGTCAGGCTGGGTGGCTTTTCCTAATTTGTAGAACTCTTTTACTCTTATTTCATCTTTATTGTCTGGCTTCTGACCATATGTGGCAAACTTATCTTTGCATTGAACAAGTACTATTCTTGGAGTTCTTAAATTTAAAACAATCATTGCTGTGGTAAAAGAAAAAAATAACTTTCATTTTTTTTCCCATTAGATAACATACATACGGCAAGAATATGAAACAAAATTCAAAGGGTTGATGCCAGCATCTCTAAGACAAGAACTTGAAGACACAATTTCCTCCCTGAAATCACAGGTAATTACCAGAACCAAAGCATTTTTCAAGGGTTTCAGTGATGTACACACCCTGAAAAGAAACTTATGTGTAAATTTGACTCTGAGTTGTTGCCATAAATCAGTGAGACATCCTAGCATAACCTATCACCCAGGATGAGTTGTTTTGTTTTCTTTTCAGTTATTTTTCGTACTAGTTTAATAACTTACTGTCTCCATAAGATTTTCTTAAAATCCCCCTGAAATTATACAGTTCAGGCTTAGCAACTTTTATTCGTTTTCAGTCTATATTCCAATACAGCTTCACACATTCATTCTTGACACCAGGTCTAATATGCCATTACTTTAAAATGCAGAGAAACAAAAGCATTATTAAATTAGAAATATTTTTATTCTGGTGTCTATGATTTTTAGCAATTAAGTGTATTTTAGGTTTAAGGTAAAACAATGATAAAGTATTCAAACAATTAGGTTAAATATTTCTAAAACTGATAATGAGAGGGCTGGAGATTTAGCTCAGTGGGACCATACCTGCCTCCCAAGCGCAAGGTCCTGAGTTCGATCCCCAGTACAAAAAAAATGTTTTGATAGAGATAAAATTGATTTAACTTTAGATGCTTGTGTGAAAGGTTTCAATGTACTTCTGTATTGTTGGAATGTTTTATGTGTTGCTGGTCTAATGAATTTTTTAACTCTAATGTGAGAAAGACTTCACATAGTTGCATTTCCAATAAACTCAGAAAATTTAGGCATACTGAAAAAGTTCCATGAGGGAAAGGATTTCTGCACTTCATGTGCCAAGAACTGTCCCTGGCACATAGAAAGTACTCAGTGAATTTATTTACAAATAATATAAACGATGTACTTTGACAATGCTTATCTTAGGTATTTTTAAGATATAAGATGAAACAACTATTCCTTTTAAACTCTCCTCAATGGAAGTCTCTGATCTGAACATGAATCTTCATTATAGTGGTACCTTGGCTCACGAACTTAATTCTTTACAGCATTCTAGCCACAAACCAAACTGGATGAGAATGGAATCCAATTCAGTGGTTAGGTTCAGTGTTGACCTCACGGAGAAATTCATTTCGGTTTGTGACCAGAACTGTGGAAAGAACTAAGTTTGTGAACCGAGATACCAGCGTATTTCAATCTTTCTGCTACTGTTTACTGTTGCTTCTGTGGGCTACTAACAAATTTTACTGTGCTTGCTCCTGCACATAAAAATAAGTGCTGGAGGAGAGAGTTGACACAAATGGTTAAGCAATCCTTACATAAAAGCACTCTTCTAGGTGTGGTTTACCCATTAACTCTGTAGCAGACCTTCCATAAGATCAGCTGGGAAGGACTTGACACCTTCAGAGGACTTGGTTTTTTTGTTTTGTTTTGTTTTCGTTGAGATGGGGGAGGGGATCTGATACCCACCTGAAGGGCTTCTGTTATCATTCATATCATTTGGCTGTAATAAAAGCCACTTCAGCCTCCCAAAACTGGATGTTGACCTCGAAAGCAAGTGCTCCCAGCTGCATTAGGGCCTCAGAACTGGCAGCTGCACAGAGGAGTTGCAGGCTATATAGTGGGCAAATTTAGTTTGAAAGCACAGGTGCCTGTGTTTTCGAAAATTGCTGAAATTCCAATTGCAGTATCATGTGGGGGAGGGAAGTTGAATCAGTGTAATCCTTGCATCTGTCAGAATTATCAGTTGTCCTATGAGTCATTTAAGCAATTGGGTAAAATTAAAAACAGGGTGATATTACAAATAAGCAAACCCAAGGGGGACCACTTTGATATGCACCCATTTGGGAAGACCGTGCTTTCCTCTTTTTCAAGCATGTTTTTCAGTTCTGCCAGCTGTACACTTGCATAACGAGGCTTCAGAATCAGCCGTTGCCATGGTTTCAGTTCAGCCCAAAGAGGCAAGAGTAAACAATTCCAAATGATCAAATACCACTGACTCTTGATTATATTAAGCTATAGTGTAAGTTATACCAAAACTGGTTTTATTTGGCTGTGTAAGGTGCTTTAGAATCTTTGCCTGTTATAGGTGTCTTTAATCATATAGAAATTTATGCTTCAAAAATAATCAAATGCATCATTAAGGTCTGACTTAGGAGAACATGCTGTGGGCTCTCCACTTTCCTCCAAGTCCCAGTCCCCAAAAGTGGGGGTGGAGGGGTGGTGCCTGCTGTGAGGTCTCTGCCACACATTTTCTTTTAGTCATTTCACATCATCCTCATTACCTTGGGAAATACTGGAGCTGTCATTAACCCCATTTCACAGGTGGGGCATTGAGAGCTGAAGTACTTTCTCAGAGCCTTAGAGGCCAAGCCAGGAACTGAACCCAGTTGGTCTAACCCCAAGCAAAGCTTAGGCTCTTTCCACTACAAAATACTATCTGTCAACCTCAGGGAATCCCCAGGATAGATTGAGGTTTCCAGAAAGCAGTAATTTTCTTTTCACTCACTCATTCATTCATTAAACAGCTAGTGAATGCCAGCTGCAGGCCCAGCCCTGTAAAAGAAACCGGGATACAAAGATTTTTTTTTTTTTAAAAAAAGTTCCTCCCTGCCCAAGAAGAGGTCTCAGGTTTGGAGAAGAGATGTGAAACAAATAACAGTACAGCAATGTGAAAAGTTACAGCAATAGAGAATAGAAATACAGGAGAGGGATCCACTGGGGCTGGGCAGAAGACACGAGCAATTGGGAAAGCTGGAAAGATTCCATAGAAGAAGTACACTTGAATAGGAGACAAAGAGGGAAAAAGGGAAAATGAAAAAGTATCCCATTCATTTTTCTGCCAGGCTTGGTGACACACACCAGTAATCCCAGCACTCAGGTGGCTGAGGCAGGAGAATTGTTGCAATTTTGAGGCTACCATGGGCTACCTGTTGAGATCAAGGCCAGTCTAAACTACATAGTGAGACCCTGTTTCAAAAAAATCAAAAGAAAAAGAATCATTCATTGTTCCAAAGATTCTGTTTGCTTGGCAAGGGATAAGATTTAATCTCTTGTAGGCATATATGATGAAATTTTGATATTCCATCCATTTCAATCCCTAACTTCTCCAGAACTGTAATATTCCAAAGAGAGAAAAGGGCAAGCGAGTGTGAAGGACATGGTGTATGAAGTCGTGCTGTCAGGGAGAGTACAAGGAGCAAGGAAGCCATGATAGGAAGGGGCCAGATCAAAATGGCTCTATGGTAAGGAGTTTGAAGCTTATTCTGTAGCCTCCAGTGGATTTTCAGTCAGGATAGCACATGACCAAATTAAAGCATACACACACACATACACACACACACACACATCCCACTGACATTCAGCACATCTTGTGAGTTTTATCTAAGGAGAGAACTGTCTGAATCTAAGTCAAATTTTACTGCACCATACAGACAGTATTGACACTTGAGCCACGACCACCTTTTCTCATACAAGGTCTCTTTTCTAGGTTAACTTTCTGCAAAAGAGAGCATCTGTCCTCCAAGAAGAGCTGATGACATACCAAGGCAGAAGGTACAGCACTGAGCAGAGGCCTTCTGATTACTCTGTATTGTTTGCACCTGGGAGTCTCCTGGCTTGACATTTGTCCTTATCAAAATACTTAGACCCAATAGCAGTTTGGAAAAAGGGATGTAGTTTTAGTCGTTAGCCTTTCTTTGAGAAGTCATTCCTCTCTGTTAATTGAGGGCTTAATCGGTCCCATCAGAAGACAAGACGGTCTACAGGGCATGGCAAGCACAGGTTGCACCTGGTCAGTTGCCAAGACATCCTCTCAAAACCCAGCTGCAGGGTGAAGGGCACACCATCTTCCTGTAAGAGTCTGCGATGATAAGATGGGCGTGGTGGCACACAGCCTGTAGTCCCAGCACTCGGGAGGTTGAAGCGGGAGATTTGCTGTGAGTTCTAGACCAGCTGAATCACATAGGCAAACCTCTCTCAATAACAATAAAGGAAGGAAGGGAGGAAGGCAGGGGAAGGGAGTGGAGGGAGGGGAAGTGTGAGACCAAGAAGGCCTTGCTGTGATGGTTCATACCTTCAGAGTCCCCTGACACCAGGAGTTTGGTTCTGTTATCCAGACCAGAATAGGCCAGTGGCTCAGTTATGCCCAAATGCTCACAGTGATGGAGTGTTCTCAGGGCCTCCTCTTGGATGTCAGAGCCATTTTTTAAAAAGTGAAAAGTCCCCATAGGTGTTACTGATGGAGCTGGGGTTTACACGCTCCAACTCAGTCACACTAACAACCTGGCTTAATTCAGTGCAGTGAAAGACTGAACCATTTACTTAGCATTAAATTAAAAGAAAAGAGCTTGTATGAATCATTCACTTTTCAGAAGAGTTGGTTTATCTCCTTAAGGATAAGATTTGATCCCTTATAGTCATAGATGATGAAATTTTGATGCCATGTATCCTTTTCAACCCCTGACTTCTCCAAAACTGGAACATATTTTATAACTGACAGACCTGTTAAACCAGAGGTCATAACCAAGGTTTGTGGCTTTCAGGTAACTGCCTGAGAGAATGCGATGGAAGCAATTGTCCAGGCTGCCCTGAGGACTTCTTCTAGCAGGTTTGAAGAGTTGGATATCGTAAAGTGAACTATGAGATCAGTGGCATTTTTAAATGCTTACATGTAATAAGGTCATAAAAACATGCATCATTTACATCATGGGATGGTTTTGTGTCTGCCTACATTATTTTTTAATGTCTCTTTATTTCTGATTTCCATGTTTGTGTGCCTTTGAGTGTGTTCTGAAAAATTGCTTATATTGGAAAAAGTGATTTCTTATGGTGTGCTTTGTTAATGCTATGCATAGAATTTTGCTGTTGGGTGTGATCAAAATCACGTTTGTAGTATCATCAAAATTTTATACCTGTTTACATTGTTTTTATGTTTGTGTTCACATTTTATTAAAATATTATTTTATGCTTATGAGTTTTCATTCTACGTTTTATCATATCTCATTTGCTAAAATAAGTGTAACATACCCATGGTATTTTTCCCTAGCAAATACTGATAATCTCAAATTGTGCTTTAGAGAAAAATACCTGATATCAAAGATCAAATCCATAACTAGTGCATGAAGTTGATGTTTAGAATAAAAATCACTGGGCCATCTGATACCAATGCAAGTAGTTGTCACGTTGGCTTGTGGCCTCATCCTGGAGCTCCATCAGTCAGCATGGGGGAAGGTTTGTATAGGGGTTATGGCTTTATTGTCGTTTTCTTGATCTCTCTTGCTATGGTGGTTGTTTTATTTATTCATGTTTTTGTTTTTTGGTGGTGGTTGTTTTGATTGGTGTGTTGGCCGAAGATCCTTAAAGCAATATGGTGTAGGGTTAAGTTCTGAGGACACAGCACACTGGCAAAGGATCTCGGCTCCGGCTTTAGCTAACTGTTATCGTGTGCATGCCTTATCTTTGAGGGAATGTGGTCTTGGGCCCCTGCATGGATGTTTAAGCCTGTGTACCTCTGCCTACCATTCTGAGAGCAGTTTGAAGCTGATGGGCTAACCCAGATTGCCAAGGGCATTTCAAATTGCTGTGAAATTCTCTTGAGTGCATTGTGGTGGGTGCCATGGGCCTTTTGAGATACTTTCTAAAAATCCAGCCCATGGGAGGGGCTGTAATCATCTGGTTTACTGTAAAAGGCAGGGACAAAAAGTTTATTTACACTTTTTCAAAATTCTTTTCTCTTTCCCACGCCCTTGTCCGTTGTTTGCTGCTCAAGGATTAATTACCCTTTTCTGTGCTGTGGCTGAGACATGGAGATGATGAGGAAGTACATGTAACAGGTTTTCCAGCCACTTCCAGAGCTAAGCAAGGCTGTGCCGTAGCCTTCAGCAGGAGCTGGCATTCTTGGGGCCACTACTTTCCTGGTGACGCTCATTTATCTTACACATATAATATGTTATTGCACTGGCTTCAAGAATATTCAGGGGAAGCAAAATTGTAGCAGATGCTATTAAAGCCACCTAACACTAATAAGGGCAAATGTTACTCAGACTGTGACTTAGTATTTGGAAAGGAAAGATTACGGCTGCATGACTAATGTGAAATACTTCTGCTCAAACTATGAAAAACAGATTGAGGCTCAGCAGATTTTGTTACTAAGATTATTAGCTGCTCAAAGGGAAAATACTTTGTGAATTGTATTGTATGATGGAATTGAAACTCCCACTCCAAATATTTGTTTTCTGTAAGTATCAGTAGGTGTTTTGGAAAGTTACTTACTATTCTTTCTCTTTGTTATTGCGAGTGTTATGAAATTACAAACACTGGTGAACCTTTGACATTACCCAGATCCTGTTTCCCTTCTGAAGTGTGTCATGTATGTCTGGGAGTAAGGTGAATGAAACTTTAGGTCATTTTGATTGGATCTGATAGGAATGGGTCCTTGACGTTCATGTTTTTATGAACATTCTCTGATAAAGGAATAAAAAGAAAAATCGCATTTGACATGTTTGAAATTCCTTACTGAGTTAAGCACTGAGTATATAAATGGCTACTGGGAGAAAAAGCAAGTGCTCAGAAAATAAATTATAAACACTGTGCCTTATTATAAAATCATCTAAGATTTTGGTTTTTCTTTTATCCTGTGGAAGATCAATTGTTCATCACAAGTGCCTAATTTAGTGACATCTCCAGTCATTACTATTGGCTGCTGTACCTGAGTCATCCACCTGTGCTTTTAGTAGTTCAGCATGTAATTGTCAATATATGGCAGCTGGTGAAGCATTTGGAACAACGGAGCAGGCAGAGAGCTCTGGGATCACAGTGTTGTTCATGTGTGTTATGATCTGGTTATTCTCCAAGGGTCAGAGGAGGGGAGAGTTCACGAGAAAGCTAGCTGTTCGGTCATCTGCATATGTCAGTTTTTTGTCAGTCCACCATTCCCACTTCACCAAGCAGTGAGGCCTTTCAGGGGTCTGACCTCTGATTCTGCAACCTCCATCCTTGACAGCAAACTCCACAGCCCTAAGTGGACTCTTAAGGTAGAGGCAATGGAGCCCAGATATACCTGCTTTATGGATTATATAAAAGAGGTGACTATGGCTTGAGGGAAATAACTCGGATTGAAACATCATCCTGTAATGTCACCTGTTAACAGAGACTGCTTCAGAATGGGGCATGTGCTTATAGTGGTGAGCACCCTCATTAAAGAACTCTGCAAAAAAAAAAAAGTACGAAAAGAAAAAACTGGGAGTTTGAATTAACAATTAACAGCTCCCTCATTGAAGTGCATCACCATCCTGAAAAGGCAGTGGCGTTTTAGCTTTCCATTTAAGAGTAAAAAGGAAAGGTAAAATATCAAAAATGGTGGGAGAAAAGTTTCAGAACACAAGGTCATTTTAATTCATAGTTTCCTTAAAAGAACCATCTCTTCCGAGCTTTCATATTTTGTTCAGAAAGGTCGTCTCTTTTAAGCCTTGTCATTAAAGACAGTTTGCTCTTTAAAGTGAATTATCAAAGGGTATAGAAATTGCGAGTTACTGAAACCAAAATGCATGATCAATTTTAAGTCTGCTAACTGAAGCCTATTTAAATTTGGATGTGCTTTTGTCCTGGCAGCCCCTTTGATAAAATCAGAAAAAGATACATCGTTGGTCAATTCAAAGTAGGGAAAGAAGATAATTAGATAAAACTTTTTTCAACTAGTAGAGTGGGTCTTAGCATTGGAGACTTGATTACGAAGCTAATGGTATTCGAAAAGTAAAAATCGAATATGCCAGATTTTGAACTGGCTAATGTTAACATTCTTCATTGTATTGTTTTGAAAACAGAATGAAACTTCAGATCATTTTACCTCTCACGTAGAGAAAGAGAAACAAAGATAAAACTGCAGGACTTTAATACACATACCCCCATATCTAATTCAGGTGAAAATGTGTCCTAGACATTTCAATTTTAAGCAAGTATTTCTATCCAGCTTATGCATTAAAACCAAAGACCCTGGATGCTGCTCTAGATTCTGCTGTTTTGAGAAATGAAGCTTAGTCTAGACTTCAGACTAGTAGTAAATAATCTTACATCCCCTTTGGTACTTTACCACTTAAGAGAAGCCTCATAAAATATGGACTCGGACACATCCTTTTCACTGAACAGAAAGAGAGCTACCCGGTGAGGAGCCTGATACAGTACATCTCATTAGCTCTATGAATCTAATTGCTTACACGAATGGAACTATTTTGCCCATGCCCCTTCCCTTTAGCTAGAAAAGGAAGTTACTTTATAGGAAGAGTCTGTCTGTTAGCTGTGCCTCCTTAAATGATTTCTTCGCCTGTTGGGGCCTCACTTTTCTAATCTATAACATAAAAATTATACAGTACTAGACCAGTATTTCTCAGACTATACCATTTCAGCCTTCTCGTTCAGTGTTTCTCAAGCTAGTATTCCATCAAGCCCTGCTCTGTGTGATTTGTCTTGCAGTGTTCGGATATCATATTTAGGAAACGTGACATGCTGTATCCCCTCTTCAAGATGCACACTTACATCGCTCCCTCAGTCATTCATCTGTTCCTAGTTAGAGATTGCCAGGGGTGTGCTGGAGAGCACATTAACCACCCTAAAATCTAATGACTTAAATAATATTTATTATAAAACAATGTGTCATCTCTCTATAATATTTACTATAAAACAATAATGTAGCCAGTAGCTGAATTGGGCTCTCAAAGATCTCGAGCAGGACAGTCAGGTGTCTGTGGGCGTGGCAGTGAGGAGACAAAGGCTCACACCCACAGTGACTTACTCACCTGTGGGCAGCTGATGTTGCCTATTGGCTGGACATGGCAGCTCTGAGGAGCCCTCCAGAACTAGCCTAGCAAGGGACCAGATATGGAAGCCATCATCCCCATAAGGCCTAGGCCTGCAAAATGTCCCAGCATCACTTCTGCTGTATTCTGTCCACGACAGTGCCTGAGCCAGGCATGGTGGCACATAGATCTAACCCAAGCACTCTGGAAGGCGGTGACAGGATTGCAAGTTTGAACCCAGCTTGGGCAATTTAGTAATTCAGTGAGACCCTGTCTCAAAATACAAATTAAAAGGGCTGAAAATATAGCTCAGTGTGAATGCCTAGGTTTAATCCCCAGTACAGAAAAAAACAAACAAACAAACAAACAAAAAAACCCTGCCCAGGTCCAAAAGTAGACAGTGTAGGTCCCAGCAAGGTCAAAGAATCTTTGACCATCTTTAACCCACCATACATTTAGTAAAGAAACATATAACCCTTTAGCCTCGAATATCCTAAAATGTTTTGACCCATGGAAGCTTTTTTTAATCTTTTTCTGAGGCCCACATATTTTGTCATACAGAGTTCTACATAGTCTTTGTTAGAGAAGCCCCGACTTAAAGGATTACTAAAAAGCTCTTTCCTGTTGAAATATGCTATAAATCTATGTTGTATTTCTGCAATCACAGATTAAATTGAGGATTTAGAAATACTTCTTGGGAACCCTTGAGTTAGGAATAGTCAGTAAGTCCATGTCTTCCTCTGTGATTCTTTTGAAAGATGGTAGCAGCCACAGTTGAAAGGGGTTTTATTCAACGCTTCTCTGTTTGGGGCCTGGTATGTACTGTTTATTGTAATTATCTTAGCAAGTATATTATTATAAAAGTCCATCAAAACCCATACCCGGTGCTTAGGATGCTTCTCCTCCTTTTGCGGAACTTTTAGGCACAAGGATGTAGACTTGATGAGCCTGAGAGGGGAAATTTCCCCCAACCACAGAACACTTAAAAACTACTCAACTAAGTAGAGCATAATCAT